ATCACTAGAGAAAATGCAATAATTAATAAGAAAATACCTTAATATTCTCAAACCACATCTTTTAAAAGAGATGTATTATAGTTTTAACTTTCAAAAACAAAATTGTCTCCTGCTAACCTAATTCCTATTCAACACAGGCACTAAGAGTTTCAAAAGGCAAAATTCTATATGTTCATAGGAAAATATAAAATGATTCTATTTTTCCCTCAAAATTAGGCAGAAAATACTGAATATATTTGTCTCTATAGTATAGTTACATTGACAATATTACATATTGCTTTACATTTTACCAAGATTGTTTTTCACAATTCTAGATGTTCAGGATCATTTCAATCTCCTGATTATATATACTGTGAAGAGCTCTTTCTCTCAATCTCCTCCTCTCTACTTCTTCCTCCCTCCTTTCCTTCCTCACTTTCTCCCTGAGATTGCACTGCATCTGTCTATTCAGCTGCACATATGGATCAAGTATTACTTCCGGCTTTCTCTTCTTCTCAACATAATTACTATATAATGCAACCTACTAAAAATTTGTCTTAAAATGCAAAATGAGGGGCACCTGGTGGCTCAATGGATCATGGGTCTGTTTTCAGCTTAGATCAGGACCCTGGGGTTCTGGGATCGAGTCCCACATCAGGCTCCATGCTCAGTGGGGAGTCTGCTTCTTCTTCTCCTCTGTCTCTGCTCTCTCTCTCATGCACTCTCTCTCTCTAATAAATACATAAAATCTTTAAAAAATGAAAAATTATTTTATTAAGATATTATATGAGGTCATAACATGCAAGCATACACAGAAAAACAAACGTCTATGCTGAAATCACCAAGAGGGTGCAAAAAAAAAGGCTTAACAAGAAACTGAGCTGTTATTGAAATTATCTTTAAAGGCTTTTGAGTTCAACATGGAATACCAAATGGTTTTATTTTACTTATTTTTATTTTTTTTAAAGATTTTATTTATTTATTTGACAGACAGAGATCACAAGTAGGCAGAGAGAGGAGGAAGAGGGCTCCCTGCTAAACAGAGAGCCCAATGCGGGGCTCGATCCCAGGGCCTTGGGTTCATGACCTGAGCCAAAGGCAGAAGCTTTAACACTGAGCCACCCAGGTGCCCCATAAATGGTTTTGTTTTAAATTCCAATATTGGGCCCCTTGATGGCTCAGTTGGTTGGGCAACTGAATTCAGCTCATGTCATGATCCTCGAGTCCTAGGCTGGAGTCCTGTATCAGGCTCCCTGCTCAGCGCAGTTGAGTGTGCTTCTCTCTCTGACCTTCCACTTCTCCTGCTATCTCTCTCTCTCTCTTATTCTCTTTCTCTCAAATGAATAAATAAAATCTTTTAAAAAAATGAAGTAAAAATAAAGTCCAATATTGCTTATGTCACAACTTGACCTTAGCATCTAAACTATTTCCTCCCTAATTAGGGGCCAAAAAAAAAAAAAAAAATATATATATATATATATATATATATAT